TCAAACGTATTTACGCGGTATAAGGGTGGCGTAATTTATGGCCCGTCGATGTAATGGAAACGCCCATGGAGAGAAGATATCCGCCCGTGCAAATTCGATTATATCGCAGCGTGTATATACGCCTCGATTCAGCGCGGGGAATAGAGTTAAATTAAAAAAAAAAAAAAAGAAAAGGAGAGAGAAGAGGAGAAAAGAAAAACGCATGGAACGTGCATATTTCATCCCGCCTCTTCCCCCATCCCTCCTATATAATCCTCCAAAGTGGATACACACGCCGCGCTGTTAAACGTCATCTTCTTCTTCTTCTCTTGTTCTCTTTCTCAAAGTTGGATCGAGAAATAAAATACATTTGGGTATGGGAATTTTTTGAAGTTATTTCTCGTTTATACCATGCATTTGTTTTCCAACTTTCGTTAACACCTAAGAATGTCCTAAATACCCGAATACGCACTCTTCTCGCTGCAGAAAAATACGGAAGGAAGAGGGAGAGGAGGAAAAGTAGAGAGAGAGAGAGGAAAAGAATCGTCATCCCCTTCGGGAGATAAGCGGGAACGGGGCCGATAATGATCCGACTCTCCTCATCCCCTGACCTTTCGCACGACCAGAAGCCACCGACTGCTATCCCGCCTGATATTTACGAGATCCTTTCTCTCGAAGGAAGCGAGATGAAAAAGAGGAATGTCATCGTTTGTCGGGTCAAGTGTGCCGTGTGGAGGGAGTTCCATCCGGTTGCTCGCTCCCCTCCCCTCCCCTCCCTTCCCCCAGGTGGTGGTCGTGGCACGGAAGGAAGCCGCTGGAACCCTTGGGCAGACCGCGATACCAACCCTCGTGGCGATGCCTTCTACGGTGACGGACGACTCGTGGAGGCGTGTCGACGTGTGCAACGGAGCCGACCAAGGGTGGGCTCGCGTGATCGAAACTCGAGGAGGACGCCCACGAAGGAAATCACGGGGTCGCGCAATCGCAGAGGCACCCCCCCCCTCCCCCTCCCCCTCATAATGGATATCTCCGCGATGGGAACGCGAATGGGGGAGGAGGGGGGGGGGCCTCGTATCGGGGGATGTATCGACGACATCGCTGCCCTCCACTTCGTGCCACCACTTCGCGCTCGCCAACCCTCGATCCATCAGGATTTTGCCGCCTCGTTCAACGATTTTCCTCGTTCGGTTTTTGTCTCGTTTCTAAGTAACCACGTTTTCACCACGTCGAACGTGACGTGTGTCGGGATAAAGCTATATAGTATAAATAGTAAAAATAAGGTGGGAAAGAAAAATGTATAAAATTCGTAGATCGCAGGCGGATTTTCGAGTTATGAAAACGGCTGTGAAAACGGAGGAGTACGATCGAAGTCATCGGCGCGTTTACGATCCCCCCGATTCCGAAACCATAATCTGAAACGAAACGATTCTTCCCCCCCGTCGGGGGAGTAACCACGGAGAATGTAAAATTTTCTACCTGAATGGGGTGGATGGGGACGAGGGCAACAGATGGTTCGACACTTTGCATGTCGTGCCGCATAAAATCATTTATGCGAGGACGTGACGACTTTCTTGCCCGGTTTAGAAACGGATGGAAATGTTGGAATAGTCGGAACGATTTGCCAGCCAGCCGCGGTATGGCGCACTTTTTCACCGGTAAATATCGCTCGTTAGTCACGCGCCATTGCACTTTTTGCCCGGGCTTTCTCATCCACGCTCTACGACGCGTTCTATTTCGTCAACGAATTAAACAAAACTGCGAATTTTCTCGATTATTCGGCCCCCTGTCGCGTCCACCGAAAATTTCAAATAATTTCATTTCCCCTTTTTTCAGCAACGAACGAACAAATTCCTCCAGTTTTGCAATACTGTTTCCAATACAAATGAAAACTATGCACCCACAATTTTTCCCAATAATGAAATTTCGTTTCTACTTCTTCCTTCGTATCCCTCTCTTACCTTCGAATAAGCAATACAAAGATATAATATTCGTTCTTGCTTCGTCGATACCCAGAGATCGAACGATCGGATCACAAGCAAGATCTCGTGTCTCTCCCGTGTCTTGTAAGAAAGAGAGGAGGAGGAGAGGGTTTTCGTCGTCGAAAAAGACGAAGAAAGAGGGGCCTAAAGTAGAAGGACAAAAGGGGGGGAAAAGGGATCCGACGTGGAAAACAAAGAGGCGCGTATTGAAAGTGTGCCGTTTGATGGTGGTAGACGTATCTCTACACGTCTACTTGTACGCCGACCTATGCTACCCTTGCCGAGTTATTCGAGTTCGGTGTGGATGGGCGCGCGCCAGCCACCCAGGGATGAGGAAAAGAGTATACACGACTGATCTCGACTAAGATTATAAAATGGCGACCCTCACCCTCCCCCTCCCCACGGCTTGCCCGTTCTTAATTTCGCTCGAATCCTTTTGTCCCCTCCCTGCTCGCTCCCTGCTCTCTCCTTCCCCCCCCCTCCCTTTTTTTCTTTTCTTTCTTTCTTTCTTTCTTTCTTTCTTTCTCTCCTTCTTTCTTTTTTTTCCCTCCCTTCTTTCTCGCCGGCCACCCTTCCCTCGCCCACCCACTTTCTTCTTTGCCTTTCCGCGGCGCTTGGCTTTCGCAATCGGCACGGCTCTCGAGATGTTGGCAAAGGAAAGATGGAGAGAAGAAGGCCTGGGAAGGAATTCTTTTACGTGACGATTCTGATGAATAGAGAGCGTGGCCAACGTTCCGAGAGTTGGAAATGGATAGGAGCTTGGTGGATGGATGACGATCGTCGTCGAAAGAGCCGCGGAAAATGCCACCGCAAAAAAACCGAGGGGCGGTGGTTGGTGGGTCGTTCTTTGTCGTCTTTCTCGATTCGACTCGAGCCCGAGTTATCTTTGATTAATGCGGATCCTGGATGAATACTTGCGCTCGGATGAATTTTCCCTCGGACGAGTTCGATTCGGATCTGGAACGCCTTGGAATAGTTTGGAATAGATTGGAAAAATCTACGAACAACGTAACTCTCTGCGAATTAGAATACGTGCGAATATTTTCCTTTCCGTTTTTTCTTTTTGGTTAATCTTTCGACCGATCATCTAATCATCGATCGTTTGAAAAAAAAAAAAAAAAAAAAANAAAAAAAAAAAAAAAAAAGAAGGTAAATCTTTCTTGTCCGCGTTCTCGAGCGTTTGTCATCGAATTGTAACGTAAAGAAACACCTTCCAAGTGGCATATCCTTTCATCGAGGCGATCCCTTCCAACTTTCCAGAAGGTTCACTCTCGTCCTCGCAGCGCATCATCGCGGTGTCAACGGCGCATCATCGGCACCCTGGCGGGCAGCAGGAGGCGAGAAAAGCGTCGTTGGCTCGCCTAAGACGCTTCGATCGCCATATTGGAGGCGGTCCATCTTCCCTCCAATCGGCGATAGAGCGTGTGAAGCGTGGGTGCGGATCGCGCCCAATAGCTGTGCCCGGTGCCCCACCACGGAACCACCACACCCACGAATGTCACGTGCGCACGAGCAGCTGAAATACCGTTCGAACAGTCGTTCGCGTACTCTCGTGCCCGTCGCATCGATCGTTCCTTGCCTGCGCCCGACCGTTCTCCCTCGACTCGTTCGCGTTCCCCGCGTCAACGTTTCCAACACTTTTTATCGTTATTATCGCTGATAACGATAGTTCAATGGACCGATAAGAATTGTACAGATAAACTACTGTAATAGAATTTGATACTTTGTTCCGTTGGATAAAATCTCCGTGGTGGGATATTGAGATAAATGGCAAGGTTGACGTTAGTTTGAAATTGCTTCGAAATTAAATCAATCGTGTTTTTTCGAGTGTTACTCGAAAAGGGTGAGCGTTCGGAAAAAGGGGGGAATTGAAAGTGATTTGACTTTTTCTTCAGAAGAAAGTGAAAGTGAATTGATCGATTAACGATTAACGCGGACGATGTCACATCAACGATGTTTTCGACGAGATTAGTGAGTTGATTCGGGTCTGTTTGAAAGTTATCGCGATCAGAGTACTCGTATTCTCCCGCGAGACTTAAAGAAAGTTCTTACTCGATCTTTCCAAGACTTTTTCCTTCCACCTTCTAAGATGGAAATACACGAAAAGTGGCAGAAAATTAAGAAAAAGAGAACGAATAAATGGTATTATTAAAACTATAAAAAAAATAAAAATTCGAAACTAATTCCACGATAAATATCCAATCGAATATCGATAATACTCGTTTATATTATAATAAATAGAACGATGTTGCAAAAATTGCAACGATAATTGGCCAAAGTGCGGTTGAAAAATTATTGGACGCGTGGCAAAGTAGGAAGGACAGAAGCATGACTATGATAAGCCTGGAAATGTTGGGCCGTGAGGCTCTACCTTTGGAAGGGATGTATCGGCGCGCTCATCAAGATGTCTTGACACCGCCACACGATAGGCCAGAGTCTCAAAACGTGCGGCGGAACGGTAGTAACGGCGGAAACGTTGCGAACGTTGCCACTTTCGACGCCGCTCCTCGCCACGAGATGCACCCTCTGGATCAACCGGCCGTGGACCTCGGTTTGCCGGCCAATCTTCCTGAAATCCTCTACTGTAAGTGAGGGACGGTCAGCTTCGGATATGATAGGATATCGTAAAAAAAGAAAAAAGTGTATTATCGTTCAATTATCGTCGATGTTTCGTCGTTAAGGGGATCGGAAATGGGTTTTAAGAAGACGTAAGTAAATCGGGGAACAACCGTTGACTCGAACGAACAAAAGGAATATTCGGAGTGATTTAGGGGTTGTGATAGAATCGGTTGGGAAGATCAGGGTTCAGGTGTTTATAATGAAACTGTGTAGTTGTTGATTGATCCCTCCCCATTGTCGTTAAGTAGTCGTTTCTAGCGCATTCGATCGATATTTTGTCGTTTCGAATTGTTGAAAGAGACGTAATTGATATGAGAAGTTAGGTTTCTTTCTTAGGATATTTTGAACGTTTTTCGTTTTGCAATTCTTTTTTTTTTTTTTTTTTTTTTTGAAATACAACGAGGATTGCATCGAATGTTACAGCTTCGATACCAAAATGCGGAGGCTGTCAAGAAGCGATTTTAGACAAATATGTTCTGAGGGTTCTCGAGAGGTGTTGGCATGCGAGGTGTCTCACGTGCAGGGATTGCGGCGCAAGATTGACCGATAAATGTTTTGCAAGGAACGGTCACGTTTTCTGCAAGGATGACTTCTTCAAGTAAGTACCAATAATTATTTTTATTCGTCATTTCTCATTCATCTTTGATCAATTATTTCGCGCTTTTTTTTTTTTTTTTTCTTTCAACACGCGCGTTGAATCGAAATTTTTCAACGATCTCGTATCGAATCATATCCATTCCTTGGATATTTTCTCGGAAGACCGGAAACTACTTTTCAATATCACTTCTTTATAACAAGCATTTCGTTTACTTAATACTTTTTTTTTTATTAAACATTGTAAGCGTGTGAACACGTATTTGTTACGTAATATTATGACAAGTTATATGTGCAATTTTATCTAAACAGCAAAAAGATAGCAAAAAAGAAAAATAATATATATATATATATAAAACACTTATCAACCGTTACGTATTACTTGCAAAAATTGCAGTTGGAAAATCCGAGAGTCTGTATTATTCTCTCTAGAGAGTAATGGAGAAGGGGGTATGCGAAGTAGTGGAAAAATAAGAAAAAAAAAAGTTGGATCAAACTGTGTATGTATATTCAGAGAGGCTGGGTATATCGATTGTGTCAGAAAAGCGTGCCTTTTCTCATCTACCCACACCTTCCCTAGGACGAGACGCCATTTTTCTTCTCCTGTGAGCCGAATCGAAGGAACTTGCTCTCCTCCCCTTCCTTCCTGTACCACCCTTCACGATGGTATTCCACTTTTCTTCTGATCCACGAATTTCCAGAGGAGAGTTGAAAAGTTCGAGACGTTGAAAAGAAGAAGTTGCCGGAGTTTGATAAAGGTTTATTTATCGTAACGGACGTTGGAAGAAAAGAAAAAAAAAAAAAAAGAAAGAAAAGAAAAAAGAAAAAAGGATTCTCAATTAATCTGGCGATGTTGCGAGATCAAAAGCTCGATCCAACCACGTATCGTTCTCATTAATACACGAACGTAATGTGAAAATGTTGTATGTTGTTGGTATGGCAGGCGTTTTGGGACGAAATGCGCGGGCTGCGGCCAAGGATTGGCACCGTCTCAAGTCGTGCGTAGGGCGCAAGAGTTGATCTATCATCTAACTTGCTTCTCATGCGCCCTTTGCTCTCGACAGTTGGACACCGGAGACGAGTTCTATCTGATGGAGGATAGAAAGCTCGTTTGTAAACCTGACTACGAGCAGGCCAAGGCAAAAGGTGACATTTTCGCGTTTTCCTTTCTTTTTTTTTTTTTTTTNTTTTTTTTTTTTTTTTTTTCCTATAATTTCACGCGAAAAACGACTCTCGTTTCGTAACGTTTGAATCGCAGAATTGGCAGACGGAGGAAGCATAGATGGCGATCAACCGAATAAAAGGCCAAGGACAACGATCACGGCGAAACAGTTGGAGACCTTGAAATTAGCGTACAATACCAGCCCTAAACCAGCGAGACATGTGCGAGAACAACTTTCTCAGGACACAGGGCTAGACATGCGCGTCGTTCAAGTCTGGTTTCAAAATAGGTATATCGTAAAAATATTACGTCAAATATCTTTGAACGAACGAAATATCGATATTGGTATTGGATGTGTAACGCGAGACGCCTATTTTATCATGTTTTCGAAAGCCGTTGCAAAAATAAATATAGATAGGCAAGATAATATAAATCTATGATTTTCATACACGTTAAGATGATATTTCGTAAAAATATCGAAATTGTTAACTCTATTGATTTAAGAATATGTTTATACAGTAATTGGTACATTAGAAGAAGCAAGAGGTAAAGAATATTAAGATGAGAGTGAAAAAAAAAATAAAGGATATTAAATTGCGCGTCAAATCACGTAAAATTGTTCTATTTATATAATTTCTTATAAAGAATAACAGTATTGTTCATAGCGTGACAAATATATCGTGGATTGTTAGTTGTCATTCTAATCTAAGGCTTCCGCTATTCATCTTTTCGTTATCTCTATTGACATCATAATTTTTATACATCGTTATGTACAATATTACCAATTGAAAAAAAAATTACTTTATCAATTCTATACTTGTATGCCATAATCCTATGTGCTTCACGTAAAAAAACACTGCACTTTGACAATATCGATACAAAGTTATCAATCAAGATTTTTTTTTTTTTTTTTCATTATTGATACAAATTTTAAAAATCTATACATACTTTAGATACGCACACTTTGGATTTTGTTAAAGCGATTTATTACAATATTTCTTGCAATTTTTCTATGAGATTCTCAAGTAACTTCTCCCTTTAATTTTCCCCCATAATAAAATTTCTTAGAAAATAATACAAAGATAATATATATTTTTATAAAATTCAATAATAGATCAATAATCTTTAAAAATCGTCAGCATCAAGTATAAAGGATTGAATTGCAAAAATGTTCAATTTACTTACCGAGAAAGATTTTTTTTCATAGAGTGTCAATAGAGGAATTCATCATGGAGAAATTTCTTCCCTCCTGTTGCAGGAGAGCAAAAGAGAAGAGACTGAAAAAGGATGCCGGTAGAACAAGATGGTCTCAATATTTTCGAAGTATGAAAGGAACAGGGGCTGGTGGACATTCACCTAGGCACGATAAGCTTCTTGAAAAGGATGAACTCAAGGTCGATTTAGATTCCACTTTTGGTCACCATGGTAAGTACACGTATCATCTTTATAACTTATATTTAATTACTTATATTTAATTACTTATTGGTTGTTCTGATTATATTGAAGACAATATTAATTTTGCTTATTTTTAAACGTATATTCAAAACATATATTTCTACACAAGATAAAATCTTTGGTGGTTTCATGATGGTAATCGAAAAATCGCGCTGCATTATTAAAAATAGCTTCATTTGTATCTCCAATATTACGAAATGCGTAATACCTTCCCCTTTGTATGCACGAGCATTCCCTTCGATTCCTGTAACGAGAAAATATTAAAAGTAATGGTATCATCGCAAAAAATTGTATTATTTAAAACGGAGAATGAAAAAATAAATTAAAAAGATACAAGTTAAAAATAGATAATATAAATTGTCTAAATAATATATATATATATTTTTCTGGGTCGTTTAACTAATTCATAAATTTCAAAATATCGCGAGAAAAAAAATCGACTTTCCCATTCAAATATAAAAAGCGCGAAAGTAGAATACCAGAAAGCTTTAAAAAAATCATTCTCTGCCTCTGTTGCTTTCGCTTTAATGTTGGTTACATCTAAGCTTTCGTGTATCGGAGCGTTTAGCGGAGGGGAAGACGATCTCGTCAATTATTCAGAAGTTCGTGGAGGCTAACTGCTAGTTCGCCGTGTCCGAGATTTCAGGAAGATTGCGGACTATCCTGGAATTTATACCGACCGTTAACCATGCGCGCCGTAAAGTCGTATAAACTTCACCTATTGTTTAAATTTTAAACGGGTTCATTACCGAGTTCCTTCCCTTTCGCCTGGTCGAAATATAACCAACTTATTTTTCCTTTATTTGCACTTTGCTTTCATTATATTTCAAATATGAAATTTTCTAGAAAAATATTTTATTCTTCTATATTTATACGAACAGCGTCAAGATAACGCCCCACACCTGTTATCGAGTATATCATAAGTTTCATTCGTTACAGCGACGAGATAATTACAGCGACGAGCGATGATATTCGTATATGTTTAGATTTGAGTAACGACAGTTACGGGACAGTGGTGAACATGGGATTAGATGGCGAAGGTGCGAGTCCAGGTGGGGGCGGAAATGGGGCAGGAGGGGGCCCTCCACGTGGTTATTTAGGCGCAACGACCCCCCCTTATCTCTCAACGTCCAGATCACCGTCCTTACCACCTCAATTTCCGTATCCACCGGATGCTGGCCTCTCGGTCTACACCACTCTTGGTAAGGCGCGACGACATTTTTCTCCATTGTTTCGTTCAAGATAATCGTGTCACGATTAAAGGATGGTATTAAAAAATAGGGTACGGATGGATTGAACGATGAATGTTCACAGGAGGCGCGGGTGGGATGGTACCAGGGCCGGCGTCGGATTTGAGCAACGAATCGAGCGGAGGCGGTGGAGGCGGCGGAGGTGGCGGTGGAGGTGGTTACCCGGACTTTCCACCCTCGCCCGATTCATGGCTCGGCGAACCACCACCTCCACACGCTCACCACCATTCCCACTACGCCACATAACCCGGCAAACTGACGCGTTGCCAAGCACCGTTCGTAAGAACGGATCGACGCAAGGCGTTCACTTGACGGCCCTTTTCCACGAGGCAAGGCTTATCCCGAAAACTTCGAGCCTTCCACTTCGGATCAACCTGTCCACTTTCGTCGATCCAGCACGAGTTAGATTCTCGAGCCTCGACCTCGGGAGGATCTCGATGTTTCTCGGTGTATCGCCAAGTAGATCCATCTAGAGGTGGAACTCGATCAAGACTGACCGATCGAGAACCGTCTCGAACAAAGAAGTCATTCCACACCGTATTCTGCACCGTCCCGGCGGGTTTCCCATCATCGGAATGATGCCATGTGTCGCTATCGTATAACGTTACTTTACAGCGCAAATACGATAGCGCTAATTCGATAGGTACGATTAATCTAAATATATTTATGTACAAGTTCCTCGTTTCCCGGTACTACTGGAGTTTAATCGTCGAATAAAGAAAAACTAGAAGGTAGGTTAGACGTGTCGCGATACCGAACGTTTGCTCGAATCGATGCGATTCGCAAGATTACGGTTGTTCGTAATTCAAATTGTTTCTTCGGTTAATTCGTTGATCAACGAGATTGAGATTCGTCGATCAAATCAAATATATATGTATATATATATTTGATCGTTCAAAATCATATATATATATATGTATATATATTTCTGATTCAACAGTATTCCATGAAAGATCGATATTTGTTTTACGAAATATTTTCTTTTCTGAACGAGATAGAATCTGTATACAAACCGTATATTTCGCGAAAGGCATCGTTTCACCGAAAGACATCATCAAGACGGAACACGTTTCTATGGTATATCGCGCTTACGTGATGCTAGAAGTTTCAGGTGTCATTTATTGTAAATAGTTCAGATTAGATTTTATCGTATTATAATAAGAGAGCAAGGAATATAGAAGAGGAATGGAAAAAAGCAGGGGAAAAAAAGGAAAGGATTGGCGTACAGCGATCTCTACAGGAGCGACGCCGTCCGCGAATAAAATTCAAAATAAAAGTTAACCCTGAAGCACTAATGAATTTATCGCATCAACACTCGATAGATCGATTTTCTCATAAGTAAAAGATTAACGAAGTTGTTCCATATTTTTTATTAGCTGTAACGTAACATCGAATCGCAAAAGTTGGGTTAAAGAAACGTGGAATGAAAGGTGAATTTTGATTGGTCACGATTTACATTTTCCCATAATTGAATATTGAATGTTGCACCTTGTATATATATGAATTTAGTGCTACAGAGTTGGCTAGCTTCGCGACCAATCAGAATCATTCTACTTTGCCGCGAATAGCTCAGTCGACTTTAAGAAGCGGACGAGTGAAGATGCGATGCGAGAACGATCCGCGTAAAATCGAATATCGTCGTTTCTATTTCCGAATATTTTACAAAAAGTCGATTCACGAAGCGTGATTTTCAATCGTAAGTGACATCCAGATGTGAATCATTAATTGTGTCGTAATTTATTGCGAAAAGATTACTTCCGATCGGTGACTAGTGGAACTTCGAAATGTGAGAAAATGTTTCTCCACGTTGGAACAACGGTCGGTGTATCGTACAGTAAAAAACAATCATGTAGTTTACAATCATCGAGTGTATCGAAGATATTTTGTAGCTCGTCAACGTCACGTATGTCAACATCCACAATTGTCGCTCGAAAGTAAGTCCTTTTTTCGCGACTTATTAGATGATCGCTATTCGATTCCGCCAACGTAAACGAAATCGTCAAACAAACATGGCGCCATTGGATGGATGGTGTACCGAATCAAAGTTTACTTTGCGTGTTTGTTTATCGTCGGTGAAACCGAGCGTCAGTAGATTACACCTTTGACGTGTTCTGCGTCACTTTTTATCGATTCACAGCATTGGAAAGGCACTGTCGCGAGACATTTCGATCAATCGATTCCATTTGAACGAACGTTCATTTATGCGATTAACACTTTTACAGATAGGGTTGTAAATTTATTTAAAACAATTTTATCGATCTATAAAAAATGGATTGATAACGTTTTTTTTTTTTTTTTTCTTAATAAACGAAATACGTAATATATGTACGAAAGATTTGACGAACGATTTGACGAACGATATACTATTGATTACTATTCCTCGTTTATTACGAACGATATCATTACTTCTCTGTCTGTATAGCGTTAATAATTTTAAATAATCAAAGTCATAACGATGTCAATTGTACCCTCGTCTCAATGCATATACGCGATTATGTACAAATTGTTATATGTACATATGTACGTGAATATAAATATTCGAGAAAATATGCCTAGATTTATAGATAATCGATAATCAAAAGTAACAGATTCAATTGATCGATTATGGTCTCCGACTGATGGCTAATTTCATTCGCATGTATAGTAATATGAGGCATAACGTTTGTTGTTTTTTGTAACGAAGAAGAAAAAATTTTAACTCGTGTTTGTTCAAAATTTACAACATCGTGTCTTGTTGTATAAAAAGATTCATAAATTTTTAAATTTATTTCTTGAAAATTCTCCGTGCCTCGTATTATTTGAGGAATATAGGTACTTGAAACATAGCACGTATCATCTGACAAAGACCGGTAAAAAATAATATATCATTGTAGAATTGTATATACGTCGTCCCTGTTTATTTTACCCGCGAAAATTCAATGAATTGAAATTGGAAATTGAGTAAAAAAAAAAAAAAAAAAAGTATGATATATTTCGACGGGTAAGAGAACTGAATGTTGTACAGTTACGAAAACCGAACACACGCTCCTCCTCACCGAGTTTCGCAAAGATGAGAAAAAGATTCGCAATGACTAGCGCAGTTCATAACTTCATCGACACGAGTTACTACGGATCTTTATATTATTATCTAGTCATCGAGTGATAATAAAAATTCTATCGTAATCTACATTGTGCTGTATATTGTTTCGAATTTTTCATTTTTATCCGTATGTCATATTAAGTTTTCACGTATTTCATTTATTTATTTTTAATTATATTATTTTTAGTTATATTTATTTCACAAACATTCAATTTATTCATTCTTTCACTTTTATCACTTTTTTTTTTTTTTTTCACTTATTAAAATTTGCTATTTTAATAAAAGTTTTTATTGAATCAAGGAATACAGCATTGAATACAAAGTGAAGTAATTAAATAAGATAAATTAGGAATTGAAAGTAGGAAATAAATTTTTTAAATCTGTCATTTATTTTTTTTTTTTTTTTTTCTTCAAATATCAATGGCACTTTATTTGCGAAGACTATGTACAGATGCTGATAGATGTAATGATATTCTTGGTGTTTAATATGTACATGCGCGCGAATTTTTTAACGTCGAGAATACGATAAAATGGACAGTTTTCGATTCGATAACAAGGTTTTAGCAACCTTTAGAGAGAAGAAACAATCTACAAAAGAACTTGAACACACGTACACAATTATGTACAAGTATTACATATACATCTTCGTTTTTTCACGAAGTTTTCCTTTTTCTTTTTTTCGTCTTTACATTAGTTCTTAATCATTCTTTTTTATCGTGTAAAATTTCACGTATGTACGAAAATACTTTTTAACAGTTTTTTTTTTTTTTTTATAAAATACAACAAGTGTCGCTGTCGTTCGTTAATTTGTAAAAATACTATTCGTTCGTTGACGATTGTTCGAGATTTAAAATGAATCGAAAAATATGTGAAAGACAAAAATATGATAAAAACATGATTATAAAAAATGAACGATAGAAATCATTAACGTTAAAAATCAATTACGAACAGCGATTGTATATATAGTTTTCTCTGTACAAGACATTTTTTCGGTTTTTTTTTTCTTTTTTTTTTTAATTGTCCAGAGGTTCTTCGTACGTCCTCGTTTTCTTTAATATATTTTTAGTAATTTGCAACTGTTTCGTAATCGCCTTCTCGACATTTTTTTTATTTTTATTCGACGCGGAAAGATGTTGGAAAGTATCCTCCAATGTCCTCCTCGTTTTCATTAATCTTCTTTTCAACGCTTCATTTTCTTGCTTCAAAGCTTCTACTTCATCGAGACCTGATAAAATAGATTTTTATTTATAAAAACACGTAATAGAAATATTTATATTTATTCGAAATCTTATAATAAGTAATAATGAGATAAGTTTGCGGATAATTTTAATTTTAAAATAAATTATAAAAAAAAAAAAAAAAAAAAGAATAGAAATAGAAATTAAATTTTATAAAGTTAATCAATATTTTTAATGATGATTTGATCGCGTCGAAGTTACCTTCTATCGGCAAAGGACTTTCGCTATCCACCTCTCGAGCTGGCCTGTTACCATTGCTGTTATCTTCGTCGCTTAAAAGATTAGTCATTGATTCGGTAATTTTCAAAGTATCCTTCAATGGTCTGGTAGTTGTGATTGCCGCATCACTTTCGATCCCCAAATCTGGCGAACAGCTTGATTTACTTCGACCACCGATCGTTGAATAATTTATGGATAACCAGTATTGCGAATTCTGAAATAAATTGAAAAAAAAAAAAAAAATTATTTAAATTTAAATTTTATCATAAATACATTATTGAAATGAATTATTGGGAAGAATAAATATGGAATATGGAATAATTTAACTAACGTTATATGCTTGATAATCCTGCATGATATCTTCACAAGTCTGTTTCAACATAGACTCTGCAGGTATTGAAGAAACGCCGCTAGAACTCGGAGCCGAGTCGCTCCCTTCGCAAACTGCAACGTGCCTTCTCAATTCTTTGTTAGTGACTTCCAGTTCTTGTAATCTTGTCCTTTGCGACTCGTTGATTTGATTCAGATCCGATATCTGTAAAAAGACGCGAGTTGTTGTAAAATCCTATTATAAATTACAATTAAATTATACGGCGCATAAATCTCTCGAGTGTTCCGCTTACTTCTTTGTTGAATTTATCATGCATGGAACGGACAGTCATATCACATCTGTTTTCCGTTTTTCTTATCTCTTGTTCCAAACGTAACTTATCGTTCGTTAATTTTGTATTCTCTACGAGGATTTGACTGTGCGAAAGTGTTAAATGATCTAATTCCTTCGTTAACGTTGATATGTTCGCCTTCGCGGACTCGTTTTCATCCTCCAATTTTTTGATTCGCGATCTCAGCTACAAATTATTCAAAAACGAAATGAAAATGATTGACCCTTCGAAATTAATAAATCGAAATCATAGATATAATAATAAAATCCTAACCGTATCATTTTCTCTGTTAAGGGTTATCAACATCTCCGTCGACTTTCTTTCGGAATTCTCTTTGTAATGCATCAACTCGGCCTTCTGTTTATTCATTTCTGTTGCCATATTCTCCAAGTCGACCAGTTTCTTTTCCAATTGCGCTTTACGGGTGCTGTTCTGTTTATTTTCCTTTTTCAATGCGTGCACTTCGTGTATTCTTCTTTCCAACGCCGATTGCAATTTCTCGCAATACTTTTGCGATTTTTCCAACTTAATTATCAACGGCGATATTTTCTCGTCGAATAACTATAGATATATATATATATATATATATAAACGCGAAAAGAAATTTATTAGAAATCTCTTATTTAAAGAAATATTCGGCCGTTTCGAGCGAATAATTCTAATACTTACGCAATCGAAGGAAATCTTGGTGTTCAGCTCGCTTCTAAGAGCGCTCAACTCCGTGTACAATAAAGCGTTCGTTTCCTTGAGCTCTTGTATCTGATGATTAGCCTCGGAATCGTTCAAGTCGTTCTGATAAGATTTATAATAAGGCACGTATTCCAACGAATCCTCAGAGTCGGTGAAAGTCTTGGTATATTTGGAAAATCTAGATCTGTTCAAGGACTTTTGTTGAGTCTCCTGCAATCCGATCCTAGCCATCGATACGGTTCTGTCGGGTTCCGAGAACGCTTCCGAGTCGGACTGAGTGGATGTTTGGGTCTTGGCGCTGATCAAATTCTCGGATCGACTCTTCTTCACCGGATTATTGTCCATCGACCTCTGATTCGTGTCGCCCGGGTTGAACGCGTTTACGTCGTTGCTCGAAATCCCCTCGAGGGCGTTCACAAAATCGTCGGACAATATTTTCGAGTTCATCAAAACGTCGAACACGATCTTCCTCCGCTCGTTACCGATCGTGTCCGCGTAATCCCCGTTCTTAAGCATCTCCTTCATGAACTTGACCAAGTCTTTAAGATGCGTGCGCATCAATTCGCAATACTTCTTGACCCTTTCCGTTTTATTATCGCTGTATCCATCGATCTCCGTCGCGAAATCTGGTTTCGAAACTAGTTTCAACCATTTTAGGTAATCTACTTCCTTCTCGAGCTCATTTTTCTGGGCTACCAGCTTCTGTACATAGTCTGTCATAGTTTTTACGTCTATGGACTCGTTCCCGTCCACGTAGTTCAGTTGGACCACCTCATTGGTAAACGTTACCTTAATACCAATGTCGTTCAGCTCCTTGATCAGAGTGGAGAGCTGCGCCGTGGCGCTTTCTTGCGTCACGTCCGACTTGTTTCGGCTCCTTTCGTGACAGTGAGAGGCGGTCATGTGATTGTGAAGCTTGGCGATCTCCTTGTTCTTGCTCCACAGCTCCGTGTTCACGAGCTTCTGCAGATTCTGCGTCTTCACTTGCAATTCCTTCGACAGTTGCTCGATCTTTTCGTTCTTCTCCACGATCTCCGCCTCGCGTTGCTTAAGCTCCCGGATAAAATCCTCCCGTTTCGTCGAATCCTCCGCATCGTTTTTCGCTAGTTCACCCTTCAATTTCTCCAACTCGTTCACTTTGCCCTCCAGCTGCTCCATTATCGTCCGCTTCTCCATCTCTAGCGTCTCTATCTTCCTCTCTCTGTCCTGAAGTTGTCCTTTCAGTTCCTACCAGAGATAAATTTTAATTTCGAAATTTTTTTTCACGGTTAGAAAAAGTATACATTGCGCTATTGAATTTCGAGTACGTTCGAGTTCGTTGATCGTACGATCGTGAAAGAACATTTTTTTTTATCCGATATCAGGATAATATTCAGCAATGCTTTCAGATATCGAAAGTTGCGAAACGGTGTGTTGGTGTGATTTAACCTAAGAAAATTATTTTATGCGTGGCAATTTATTTTCAGGAGGAGCATTGTCGGTACGTTACGTTTCAGCGTTGATCTCAATTTTACAATATTACAGCATTTATCTATGTAATAATTTTATTTAGAATTCCGAACGAATAGAATTTATTTGATTTATTTTATCACAGATCTCGAATACTGTGCGAAATATTTAAGAATTCGTAGAAGAAATGAAAGCAATGCTAATTCCACTGAAAAATAATAGATACGTGTTTCTAGAATGGAAAAAAAAAAAGTACAGAGAAATATGGATAATCTACTTTCTCTCTTGATATTTTCTTTTACTTTCGCACGTTAAAATAATCGAAATCTATCCTACATTGAAATATCTATCCAATTTCTTCGGTTAATTAATTAATTAAAATATTGGAAACATCGATCCTGTTTAGCATCTCTTCTTCTCTTTGGACGACGTGAACATCTCTTAACAGTTGTAGGTAACGAGGATACAATAGCAATATCGAAGCAGAAATTTTCACAAAGGAGAAGTGGCAATTAATAGGAAATTACCTCCGATTCGACTTCGTTCTCCTTCTCCAAACGACTCTTCTCAGCCTTGATGGCATCTATTTGGTCTCGTAGGTCGTTTATTTTGGCTTCCATTTCATCGAATCGTTGCTGCACATATAAAGTATAGTTCTCGTCAATAAAACTCGGAAACAAATCGGTTGGAACGATCGATAAGCTTTATTTGCAAGAACAACTGCGATTACAGATATGGTGTAATAGTACAAAAGTTTGCGTGCGATCAATTTGGATCGAAATCGTGCGAATTATTTAAGAGAGGGAAAAGAGTATTTCGTGTATTTCGTGGACGAACCCCATTATCGGAACCCCATGGACGGGAAAGG